AGCATTAATAAGTACATTGCCTTACCTAATAGTCTGAATCTTACACAATTTAATGTTGCATGACAAACATTCTATTATAAAGCTTTCAATATTTCAGTTACTTCACACATAAGCAGTGTTCTTTTCTAATTAAAGCATATATACAGAACTTGCTAATATGAAAAACAAAAGTGGTCATGGTAAGTTTATGTCATGTATAAAATTGCAACTTACTCGCAATTTAAGTAATTTTATTTTAAGATTCTTATGCTAGAAAGTATGGTGATTGCTCAATTTTAAGTCATTTGTTAAAAACATTTTCATAAATCGGAAACACACTGTATAAATGGCTTGGTACTTCATATAAATTGTGAAATTTCTTTTATTAAGAATATTACTTACTGATAAATGTTCACAAAATTGCAAATACACTGTAAATCTAAAAACAATGCTACATAATTAAGGTATAATCAAGTTATATAATGATTAAGACAATGGATTGAAAATTTGAAATGATAGAAAAACAAGCAAATGTAAAATGAACATAAAAAAATATATACATGTAACACTATTGACCATAAGAAACAGTTAAGTCAAACAAATGTAATAGTTATTATGCATTTAAATTTGGGGTGTAGTTTCCTGTTTCTTCGGAAATTGAAGTCAAAATAGTTCTCAGAAGTCAAATATTTCTCTGACAAAGATAGAAATGTTATGAGCATGTAAAGCTCCCACAAACTTTCTGATATAACTCTAGTGCAATCACTGTTTGTCAAATTTCAATAGATTAATAATGAACACATGCAAAATATTTTTTACTTTGACTAGAATCAAAAATGATACCTTTGTTTACAGTTTGCGTCCACAATGATAATAGCATATAAATAAATATTATCATGTCACTTGTGCCTGGTTATATAAAAAAAAACAATTTCTAATAAAGGAATGTACAAGTTTGTTTTGCGTATGTTAAGAACAACTTAAGCATGTAAATAAAAAGTACTGGGAACATGGTATTTTAAAGGTACAGTGTATTAAAGTAGATTTTAACAATAATAAATGAATGATTTCAAAATTAAAAAAAAAAAAAAAAAAAAAATGGGTCAAAGACAGAAAAGGCCTAGTTGCATTTCTATACCAAATATCATGATGCTGTAATGTTTTGAAAAAATTTACCACTGACCATTAATGTGGAAAATTTAACTAAGTCAGTTAACAGGAAGTGGATGAGTGAAAGACTTGAAATCGAATCCCACAGTATGAGACCATGTGTCAATGCTGTTTGTCAAATATCAAAAGCCTGTGATAAGTAGTTGCTAAAAAAACTGTTACGAAAATTTCCTACCATTGACCATTAATGTTGAAAATTAAACGGTAAACAGGGCGTGGTGAGCGACCGACCTGAAATCAAATCCGACCGTATGGGACCACGTCAATACTGTATACCAAATATCAAGAGGCTGAGATAAGTTGGTATGGAAGACAAAACTATGAACATTTGTTTACATATATTCCATAAATAAGTTCAAGGTGGGGGGGGGGGTTGGGTAATTCTGGAAATAGTCATGCTTGTCGCACAACATATGTGTAATGATAAGAAATATAAACAAGAGGGCCATGATGGCCCTGAGGTCGCTCACCTGTATATAGGCCCCCCCCCCCCAAACGTTGCAGGGCCAATTTAACCCAAGGGCTTTTATTTGCACAAACTTGGTAGACACCCATAAGAAGATGTTTCATGCTAAACATCTAAGCTCTAGCTCATTGGGCTTTTTAAAAGAAGATTTTTTTTAAGTTTTTACTATACACATATAGTTAAAAACAATGACACTCCTGGGGCCGGGCCAGTTTTGACCCCAGGGCTTTTATTTGAACAAACTTTGTAGACACTTACTTGTAGATGTTTCATTCTTAATATCTAAACTCTATCTCTTATGGTTTTTCCAAAGAAGATTTTAAGTTTTTGCTATACACATATAAAGAAAATCAATGACCCCCGGGGCGGGGCCAATTTTGACCCCAGGTCTTTTATTTGAACAAACTTTGTAGACACTCACTAAAAAATGTTTCATGCTTAATATTTTAACTCTAGCTATTTGGGTTTATTCAAAGAAGATTTTTTAAGTTTTTGCTATACACATAGGGAAAATCAATGACCCCCGGGGCGGTGCCAATTTTGATCCCAAGGCATTTATTTGAACAAACTTGGTAGACACCTATTAGAACATGTTTGATGCTAAATATCTTAGCCATAGCTCTTTGAGTTCTTTAAAAGAAGGTTTTTTAAGTTTTTACTATATGCACATAGGGAAAATCAATGACCCCTGGGGCGGGGCCAATTTTGACCCCAGGGCTTTTATTTGAACAAACTTGGTAGACACCTATTAGAACATGTTTGATGCTCAATATCTTAGCCATAGCTGTTTGAGTTCTTTAAAAGAAGATTTTTTAAGTTTTTACAATATGCATATAGGGAAAATCAATGACCCCCCGGGGCAGGGCCAATTTTGACCCCAGGGCTTTTATTTGAACAAACTTGGTAGACACCCATTAGAACATGTTTCATGCTAAATATCTTAGCTCTAAGCTTTTTGGGTTCTTTAAAAGAAGATTTTTTAATTTTTTACTATATGCATATAGGGAAAATCAATGACCCCCCGGGGCGGGGCCAATTTTCACCCCAGGGCTTTTATTTGAACAAACTTGGTAGACACTCACTAGAAGATGTTTCATGCCAAATATCTAAGCTCTAGCTCTTATGGTTTTTTAAAAGAAGATATTTAAAGTTTTTTCTTTCGGTTGCCATGGCAACCAGAGTTCTGCATGGAATTAAATTCTTTGAACAATTTTTAAAGGTGACCACTAAAGGAACATTCCTGTGAAGTTTGGATGAAATTGGCTTAGTGGTTAATGAGGAGATGTTATTTAAAGTAAAAGTTTACGGACGGACGCCGGACGAAAAGCGATCACAAAAGCTCACCCTGTCACTTTGTGACAGGTGAGCTAAAAAGTAAATTAAATTAATTATAATATTTCTTTAAAAAAAATAATCCTAAGTTCAAAGGGATATTAACCTGAAAATATCGCTTTAAGAGTTATGAACCTGGTCACATAAGATGTAATTGATGATAAGGAATATGTATTTGAAGTAAGAGATAGATGCCTTTGAAACTAAAGAAGTCATAGTAAAAAATAATATTTTTCAAGTAAAAAAAAACTAGTTCATGGGGAGGTAATTCTTGCAATATTGGTGCTAGCGTTAACAACCTTGTCACATAACATTTGGTTAATGATAAGGAACATATATTTGAAATATGAAGTTGATCCCTTAAGAAATAAATAAGTAACAGTAAATAATAGCTGTCGGTAGGACAGCAACGCTCTACCATTATAAGTGCTTGATAGAAAAAGAGCCTTGATAATGTAAAATGTTAACAAAAGGGCCAAATTTTCCTTCAAATCCATGTTACTGTTATAGGGCCAAATTTTCCTTTAAATCCATGTTACTGTTATAGGCCTTGAAGAGAGTCCTATTATGCTCTCAAAGAAGAGTATAAAATTTCAACTTGTTCCTAGCCAGATGTCAATAGTATATGAAAATATCTGAGGTGGTATGCAAACTTTAAATCACATAAAATCTAAGTCAGAAAAGGGGCATAATTCTGTCAAAATGCTTGATCCAGTTATCTCCTCCTGTCTACAGGTTGGGGTCATGATGGTGAACATGTGTGCAAAGTTCAAAGCCATATATAAATGGACTTTGATATTTGAGATATTACAAAAACTTTAACATAAGTTATTACACCTACGCTGACACAGACGCCGACACCAACACTGACGCACTGGTGACTACAATAGCTCTACTTATTCTTATCGAATAGTCGAGCTGAAAATAACCTTTTTTAGGAAAATTCTATCTTCAAGAGGAGATAAATTTGAAAATATTGGTGCTAGAGTAATGAACCTTGTCACATAAGATGTGGTTGATGATAAGGAACATATATTTGAAGTATGAAGTTGATCCCTTAAGAAATAAGGAAGTAACAATAGAAAATAATATTTTTTAAGGAAAATTCTAAGTTCAAGGGGAGATAAATCTGAAAATAGTGGTGCTAGAGTTATGAATCTTGTCACATAAGATGTGGTTGATGATATGGAAAACCAAAACTTTAATCTAAATAAGGACGCGGACGCCGGGGCAAGAAGGACGGCTCTCCATATACTTTGTATAGTCTAGCTAAAAATGAAAAGTAAGAAAGTGTTTTATGCAGTAAACATTAATATAAATATAAAAGTGATATGGCACTTTTTGTACTTAGAAGCGATGAATGATATTTTATCTTTTCTTGCATTCTAAATCTATTGTAAATGATCATCATGTTATTACCGTACCTTTCTTGCCTTTTAAATGTATGGTATTGTACCTAACAATATTGCTGTTCCAGGGTTTTCACATGTTGGTTTACACAAAATATCCATACATATATCTAATTTCTATTATAATACATATATAATACATATATACATTAAACTTTATGCTTTAAACAAAAAATAGAACTTTTTACAACATTACCATTAGACAGGATTAATTTTGACCCCAGTGACACTACTGAAGTTTTCCAGATTGTATGTAAATGATAAGCAGACTGGAAATCTATACACCTGACAATCTATTTTCCTTTCTTCGAATTTAACCTTGAATATGTGACCATAAGGCTTGGAAATTTTTTAACAACATAGCAATATTCTGAGGTATCCAATGCATTTCTCTGCTTAACTTCAGCTAGAAACTTTTTAAAAGGAAGTTTTTCACATATTTCCAATACAATTTAGGTAAAACATGTAGGTCCATTGGCATTCAGGACTTCCATTAAGATTCAAAATTAAGAGTCAAAGACTGCAAAATGTCTTGACATTGGAAGACACAAAATATTGGTAAAGAAGAAAAAAGCATTACATTTTGGAAGTCACAAATTCAAGGAGTGAAATGACTCCCAAACTTCCATTAATAGAAGCCCTGCCATTACTATGAAAATGGTAGCCTGATGTTCATTTACAAAAAGTGTGTATACCTTGATCATTCAAACAAAAAGTTTCTCCAAAAATTGTGTTTTTCTCTTCTAAACAAACAACTTTGCACATTTCAACATCTTACAGTTCACATATATTCGTCTAACATGTCCACAGATACCACAGATATATATACAATGGATAGGAAGCTCAGAAAATAGTTGATAGTCAGATTCAGATCCACAGTGCGCTTCGGTAATAATCGGGTTTTCCCACTAGTCCCCGATTCTCACACTCTCGTTAAACTTCGGCGATATCCATGAACTACTGTTTACATTACCGACATTGTTTTTTTTTTTGAGAAATATCTGTGTGGAAAAGTGTGTATGGTACGTTTTAACATAAATAACTATTGCTTCTTATGTAAGTAGAAAATGCTTCGTCTTTTTTTGTCAATGTTCCTCTTGGAATTCAATATGGCGGTATTTTGGCTACTATTACCCAGGATGCATCAAATCTTGGAAAATCCCGAAACACATGATAACTTGCTTTAGAACAACCCCAATAATACTGAATTTAACTGTATGACGTCTAAGTTACTTCTCCATCTATATTAAGCTCCATGACATGTCCAATCAATCAGTAAATCAATAAGTTGATTGATCATTAGAACATTCAATCAACATTCAACAATCATCAATCAGAGAATGAATCATCGAGTCAATGAAATCGAGGAAATCAACACTCTGAAATTAAACAAATTACATCAACATAAAAATAGAGTAAAATCAATTTCATAAGTCTGAAATGCATAATTATCATTTAAATAAAAACGTCCAAATTTATGGTCAATTACAATAAACCCATTAACACTTTCTATATGATCTACGTAAATAACCGAGGTATATCGAGTGAAAAAATACGAGTTGCTTTATGACTTTAAGCGAGGATTTTAGTCAAGAATATTTAATTTTTAGAGATTAATCGCCGTGTTGGCTACAGTAAAGAATGTACTTTGTCATCTCAAGACGTCGAGAAAAAATAGCGTTTGGTTGCAGTTAAATAACATCAATTGAAATAGTTTACAAAATTTTGATAATAATCCTTTTTTGTTTCATTAAGTTTAATTTTTAAATTGGAAAAAAAAACACCGAAAATAATTGTTGGGCTCTGATAATTGTGTCAATTACCGACAGTATAGAAGTTTGTCCATCGTTCATCATTAAGGAAAGTTTGCATTATTAAATTATTTTTCCTTTTCACCGTATTTTTTAATATTAATTCTTTTTATTTATTTCTTCCCCTCCGATCATTATTTATTCAATCCATGTGCTTAATCAACAGATTAAACAATTCATCTTTCATACTCTTAAAACAACAAATCATAAGCATGAAAATCAAGGACGTTATAACATGCAACTGTGACACTTTTATTAAGATAGATTATACAACGCTTGTTCGTATACATTCATTTTTTTGTTGTTGTTAAATTGCGGAGCATCTTTATTAAAGTGAACACACTAGGACAAATGCTGAGATTTGATTAAAGTCGTCGTTAAAAGACACAAAATAACATATGCATTTTCATTTTCCTTATAATTTTGAAAAGTGCCGTACGGCTAGCCAATACAGCGTGTCCTGGCTAGAACTTTTGGCTAGCCATACGGGCCCGTACGGCTAGCCACTTCCATTAAATATTTACAACACATTGAACAGCTTACTTAACCTGTAGGTATATTAACATATAATTTACTATAGCTATATGCTTTCTACTGGCCGCCACAATCATAAGTTCATTTAATGAATTTATTATAAAATACATCATAATCATAAATAAATTCTAAACTCACCAGTTCGTGGAATTGAATGTACCAATAATAGCATTATCTTCTTCAAACACGCATACTGTCAAACTCTCTCTCTGCTGTAACTTCTGCAAAATATAATAAACACAATGTGCAAAGTGATAGGAATGAAATGTGAGATTAAGTAAACAGAGAGCTAGATTAACGGATTTTTCTGAAAACAATTTTCAAAGGTTCCAAATCACGAAAACTGATGACATTTAAAATCAGAGCACACTCATTACTTAATTAAAAAATCATCTATGACATACACTCTATAAAACACTAATTTAAACCAAATGCAACTCAAAATAATACTGACCAACTATCAATAATCCATATTTCCAATAAATTAAGAACACTTTGAACTTTTTACAAACAAAGCCGCTTAAACATAGACAAACTAGTGATATTGCGGAAAACCAAGAGAAACAACTCAAACAACAAAAAATATATCAAGACACAATTATCAACACTGTTAGTTTACACATCATGAAATCCAAATAAGAATTCCAAAACAGATTACATTAGGTTTAAATTCTATTGGTAAGTTTTCTGTACCTACTTTTAGAAAATGATGAGATCAGCTTTCACATACAAAAATAGCGTCGAAAACTTTGTTTTGGTACGAACTACTTCCTTACTCAAAGTTAACGCGAATGAATACTAATGATATTTTTTACTGATTATATCCTGAAAACATGCAAATAATATACGATAGAAATAACACAATCAAAAATGAACTACTGACAATTCAAAATCTTATCACTTGTGTGTGACAAGAAAATCTGTGTAGAACTACTTTGCGTTGTTAGGTACCCATTCTTATATTGTAATCCCGCAAATTGTGATAGAACTGTATTCACTGCTTACGCAGCGAATACAAAAACCTTAGTTGCAAATTCTTATAAGATTATAAATTATAGTAGTAAAATTAGGAATTGCTTGAGATACCTTTTAGTGTCTATAAGTTAAATTTACGTAATGTGTTAGCGTCCAAGCGGTTGTTATTATTATTATTATTATTATTATTATTATTATTATATCAAAGTAGTTCAGGTGAACAGTACACAATGTGCAGGCAGATTATATCTGGTTCATAAAGTAATTAACTATATTGGCCAACATTATAACTGATACGCGTGTTTGAAAAGATTGTTTTCATTTATGTTGCATATGGTCTTACTCTGTTATTGAATGAAAGGCCTTACCTTGATTCTTGAACAAGGGTGCATCGACTTTATATATGATATCAGGCTTATTAATTTTACTTTTGATTGAAGTTTTACAGTATGCTATATTTATGTAACATTTCATGAACGTTTTCTGTTTTGGCTTATTTGTTATTATTATTATATTAGGAGTTGTATTATACTAAGTCATTACATCACTTTTTTGTTGTTATTGTTGTGATTTGTTTTCATTTTTGCTCATCTTTTTCAATCTGACAATTTGATAACGTATATTATTTCATTAGATTTAAGTAAATCTGATTCTAATAGATATGAGCGTTTATCGCTTTAAGTCAGACACAATTTTTATCATTACTTTCCAATTACTGTACAACCAATACAAATATACCATGTGATGCTATAATTTCATGATAATAATGTATTTCAAGTTATATAATTTAACCATTCGATTTAATCATTATTTATTCTAAATAAAAAGTAATGTCCATTCACCAAAGTAACGAGATACACATGGTTAAATTGATCCTCCAATGAAGTGAAAGCTTCAGATTAACAAATAATCGAAGGACTAGATTTGTATATGAATATGAGAATAATTTGCCTGAACATAATAGTACCAGTGTGCATTTGATTTCACCTTATCATGAAAGCATTTTATTTGGCATGTCTGACAGCTAACTAGATAATATTATACCAGACGTTTCAATCATAGCTTCCGACACCATGATAATTTGAGAACGCAATTTACAGGCCAAATGTAAAGCTAATTACAACATACGGGAGATCAATGAAACCTCTATGATATGGTGAAATTATAACCTTCTGTGGGATAAAAATTAATTCATTACAAGGATATTAATATATTGTAGATGATCAGAAAAATTCTGATGAATAAATACTAGAACACAGTACTGCAGCTTTTTTCAATGTAATATGCATTGTACTGTAATAGCTTTTATGTATAGTACAGTAAATCTAAACTTATCTTAGACAGCAAAAATAACCTAAATTTGAGACAGCAAAAATAGCTGAGTAAAAAATGAGTAAAAGATTATAAGAAAATTGAAATTTTAAATAGGATATTTCTGCTGTTTGGCAATTTTCATTGTTTATTTTTGTATTGTTGGCATTTTGTATTCATAACGCATGTATTAGTTTATTTCTTTTATAAAAAAAACACGTGTTACCTACCAGCACTGTGAGTTTTATTCTACTTGTGAACAGAATGAGCTGCAATGAGATTCTGCACATATAAGAGAAGCATTTTAAATGATTTATGGAGAGTAGTTTATTTTCGACATTTATTATACAATTCACTTTGAGAAGCAATAAAAGTTTGCTGTGAATGCACTTTAAATCTGTAACAGTTTCTCTCTATTAAACAGCCAAATGTTTCATGATTACAAATTTGCTATGAGAGCTGTAAACTTGCAAAGAATATACATGTAACCCTGCGCATTCAGATGATAAGTTTTAGAATACACAATTAATTAATTTGGAGTTTAGAAATCCACAAATATTCAAAGACACTGAATTTAACACAAATGTTTTAACAGCAATAATTAGCGCTAATTTCATACCCATTTATAACCGAGGCTTTTGAGCATGCTACGAAATGTGTCCATATTTTTGTGAATATTTAATTTCTGAGTCCGGTTAAAGTTTTGTTTTAACTCTAGAACACCTTTTGAATGCCCATAACAATTTGAACCCATCGGGGGTCATGCTGTTGTTTGTGTGAAAGCAAATAAATTAATTGGATAAAAAATATGGAATATTGAAATACAATACAGTTTGCTTATTAAAATAACATAGAAGAATTGTTTATTTGCAAGTTATTTATATCATAATGTTTTCAATATGGTACCGGTTTTGAACAGTAACATTCCCAGTTTCTTTGTAATAATACCAACTCTGTAATTAGGAAAAAAATAACAACAAAAAATTTTGATGTATAAAATAAGAAACAACCATGAACATCAATAAAGTATCTCAACAAAATTGACACGACTGTTGGATACATTTATCAATTTTATATATTTTTTCTAGCATACATGATAATAATACTTATGGCAGACATTTGTTTCAAAATGTAAACTGGTTCATTACTTATGTTTTTCAAAACTAATGAGAAATAAGTTTTGTTACAGAGAACTTGCCAGAAAATAATACGGTTTACCTGGTTACTTCACATTTTTTTCCAGGAAAAATAAAATTATCCTGTTTTAAAATCTCAATTTGAGTTATAATTGATCAATTTAATTATAATTATTACAACTTTATTGCATTGACGTTACTTTCCCGTCATAATCTTTTAAGGTAAATAAACATAATATATATTTTATAGTAACATCTAATATTTTGTACTAATTATCTATTTATTTTAATTGAAAAATGTACCTATTTGTTTAAATTTATATAATATCCATGTATATAATAACCATATACAATAAAAACGCACATCAAATGATATATATTCAAAGTTAAGGAAGGATTAGAACTGAAGATTTCAGTTAATTTGTAACATGTGTCGATTTGTTTTAACAAATTGAACTATTTTGAGATGACTTTTAGCGGTTACTCTACTCTGCTCCTGATTTATGTTGAAGACTATATCAACGTGATTCAGTGAATGCGAATTCAAAACAAAAATATAATAACAAAATACAATATCAAAGTAATCTCTTTGATAAAACACAATTTACAGCAAAATTTTGTTTGATAAATTATATTTTATCAGTCTAGCATAAATAATTGTGCCATTATGTATTATGATGTATAAAGACATTAAATTAAATGGTCTGTGACCTATTTTAAGGACATTTACAATATGGTACAATGATTTAAGATGGTGACACATTGACCTGGGAAGTTATCGCAATGTGTTTTATTAATGTTACAAAATGTTAACTGTTAACTTTGTAGTAAAAATGGTCGGATAATGACATTGGCAGCTTTAACTTTATTCATGCTTAACATGACACAAAACTTTATTGGCGATAGAATGTTATATTTTTGTCACGTTTTAATCTACAAATACGAGAAGATGCTGTTACTTTAGCTTATTAAAGATCCTGTTACTTTATGGGTTTATACCATAAATATAATGTTCAAATGGGGATTTATCAATATTGTACCAAAAAGTATTATTTGTAGAGGTATTACCGAATTTACATTTTATGTTAATAAAGGGGAGTAATTAAAAATGTATTTTCTATCAAGTCTATGTCAAATTTTTCAATAAGAAATGAATGCATATATTTTAGTGATTACATTTAATGTGGACAAATATTTGCAGTACATATTTTACATATTCTTCGATATTTGAAAATTGGTTTAGAAGCATAATTATATACATATATAAAATGAAAATTGGTTTAGACGCATAATTATATACATATATAAAATTTCACTTAAGTGTGGTAACAACGTTAATTGCAACATACAGGATCTTTAACCAATATATTTATCATATCCAATTAACAAGAAAGGGCGACATTAAAGAGACGTATACCCTAACACAACACAGGACCACTGGCAAGTAGCCCAGCAGGACGCCTTATCCTACTTTTAAATACAATTCATAAATGTGCTATTAGATTTATACAAAAAGTAGGGCAATTATGCATTACATTAACGAGTACAATGGATTCCCACTAAGCACCTTTTATATCTAAAAGGACTTAACATGCCACTTTATAGAATAATTGGTTAGGATTTATCATTATGTGCCTATCTAGATTGCGTGCATCCTCGTTTGAATTCATTCTTATTAGATAAATATGGTGGCTGATTTGAGCCATTTGTCATAATATTTCTTCGCGGGGCACCAGAGAAAAGCACGAAAATACGACATAGTGATCTATTTTGTCGGATATTCGTGTTTTGCTTTTCGATGCGCGGGGCACCAGATGAAACAAGAAACTACGACAAAATGTTCACCTCGCTGGGTGCCAGGCAAAACACAAAATTACGACAATATGACCACTTTGTCGTTCTTTAGCTCTGCGGGATACCAGGCGGAAACACGAACATACGACAAAGTGCTTACTCTGTCGTATTTTGGTGATTTCGTCTGGCGTCCCGGGGATTTACAGGGCACAAATCATCCACCATAGATATAGGTATCATCCGTGACTTAGTTAGCAGAGCTGTGCCAGCTTGGTGTTTTAAAGGAGTATATAATTAATAATGCTTAAATCATT